GGCCCCGAGGAAAGCAGCCTGTCCGGCCCTAAGCCGGTTCAACGGTCCGGGGGCGGCGTTGTGAGGACGCACGCGGGGCGCCTTGAGGGACGGAGGTTTACAAACGGAGGTGCCAGGAAACTCCGGAAAATGCAGCTCCGAACCAAAGTGGAGGCGTAGCCGACCCCGGGCGGGGCGGGGCGGGCTGTGGGGAGAGGCGCGTCCCCGCGGGACAGCCCGGCCGCGGCCCTGGGAACGCGCACCTGCTCGGGCCGGGCTGCTTTCCGGTGTTCCCGAGGCCGCCGTCTGAGGTCCTGGAAAGCGGGTCGGCGGGACCTCCCGCGCCCTGGGCGTTCAGTAGCTTCCGGCTGCCCCGGGAGCCTCCGCTTTGCTGCCCCGAGCGGCGTGGGAAGGCTCCTCTGGGCAGATGGAGGGCTGCTTCTCCCCAGGAAGGCGGTGGGGGTGTGGTGTGCCTCTCGGACCCCAGGCCGCCTCTGCTGCCCCGGTTCTCCCTCCCGCCGTGGGAGGGGCCGGGCACACCCGGGTGAAGGCTGAGTGCTGCGTAAGAGTCAAGGCGCAGAACTGCGCCTGCAGCGCATAGCAAGTGCGAACAACAGGGACTGTCCTTACTTTTGAGACCAGAAAGCACAGGCAAGCCTTCCTTTCCTGGGAAGGGGGGTTCCTCCACACCCTCCTCCTGAGAGTTCTGGGGGTGAAAAATAGATTGTGAAATGAAGGACCGTAAACTCCCTGCATCCCATCCCTTTTGCTTTTATAACTTTTTCTCCTTCCCAGCTGGGCCGCTGTGGCAAGGTCCACGCTGAAAGGGCCTTCAGCGGCCACTGTGCCCATTCCTGAGAAGGGAAGGCAGAGGTCCGGGAAAGGGGGGGCTGCCTGAGGTCAGGCAGTGAATTGGGGCAGCAGTGGAACAGGGTCCTGCCCAGTGTGACTCCTGGAACTGGACACCTCCAACCTGCACTTGGACGCATCAGGAGGGGCTGGGAGCTGGGGCAGGGACATTCCTGAGACACCCTCCCCTCCCTTTGAGCCAGGCCCTAGCACATCCATGCAATGTGGGGCAGCAGCACCCTGTTATTGCTGGGGTAGCCTCCATGTGCCCATCTGCTGGGGGGGCAGTGGAGCTCTCGGGGTGCTGCGGGGGCAGTGGAGCTCTCGGGGTGCTGCGGGAACAGGAACTTGCTGAGGCCCCCGGAGGATGAGGTGTGGAGGAAAGCTTTATTGGGTCCCGCCTCCCGCCCCGCCATGGGAAAAGTCCCATCTTGTCTTCGGCAGAGCGAGGATGAAAGCCACTGCCCGGGTGTCCGCTCCACGTTGAAGCCCAGTGCAGACGCATCTGCCCGCTTAGTTCATGTTCCAGCTGCTGTCCATGGTGTGTGGGACCCACAGAGCCATGGGCCATGCAGCTTCTCGGGCCACGTGGCAGGCGAGTGTGGGTCATGGAACAAGAAAGAAATAGGAGCATAAGTGGCGAGAGAGAGAAAGTGTCATTTTCTGGGGATTTTAACCAAAGATTTCTCAAGCTTGCCGTGGTCCACCCTCCCAGCCAATCCATGGCTCCCCGGGCTAGACTGACAGGCAGGCATCTTCCCTGCCTCACCCTGACTTCACTGCACATGCGTCCGTGTCTCTCTTTGCTTTCTTCCTATCTATATATATAAACACCTAAGCGACCATTCGACTGTTGGACCGTTCAACTGGTAGCTATGATGCACACTGACCACCAGGGGGCAGACGCTCCAACCGGTAGATTAGCTTGCTACTGGAGTCCGGCTGATCAGAACTGGGCTAGATGGGCTGGACATGCCCTGGAGCCCTCCCACGGTCCCTCCCAATCAGGGTCCCTCTGCCTGGCCTGCGATCCGGAGCCCTTGGGGGATGTCAGAGAGCTGCAGGCCAGGCCAAGGAACCCCACCGCACCCGGCCTCTAGTTATTAATATGAACTAGCTGGTCACGATGGTAACAATCCCATATTATGGATGAGTAAACTGAGGCTTAGACCACAGGGCAGGAGAGACTTTCCAGCATCACAAAGTGCCAGAGCCAGAACTCAAACACTGTTCTTTGCACGTGGAAGCCGGTCCTCCCGCTGCGATGGTGCCTGGCCGGGCCTGGTGCTCTTGCTGGGGAGGGCACCGAACTCCAGGGCGGGCTGTTCACTTGCAGCAAGTAGGAGAGAGAGGAGATTGTATCTAGAGCTCTGCCTCCCGTCTATACACTATTTGGTCATGCTTGATTTCTTCTTTGCAGTTGGCTACTTTTATGTTTTTGAAGTTGAGTTCCTGTCAAACTCATCCAGTTTACAGCTGGCCTGCAAACTACTGTGCGACATGTTAACATGCAGCAAGACTAGAACTCAGTAAGCGTAGCCCAGACCTTGAGATCCTGTCCTAAGAGGGG